CGTCGTTATATATATATATATATATATATATATATATATATATATATATAATAGTGATACGGTGTGAAAAAACAGCTAAGAGAAAGGAGCGAATCGACAGTGAAAGCAAGGCACTTACTCTGTAGTGTTGATTTAGCAAAGCAGCTTTCGCGTGTCCCACGTGCAAGTAGCCACTAGCTTCTGGAGGAAACCGAACAACGACCTCGCCCATTTTTGCACCCGGAAGTTCGCAGAACTTTCCACCTTCTTCGAAGCGCATCCCAGCTGCAGTGGTTTTCCCGACATTTCCAGGCGATGGTTTTTCACAGCGGTTTTGCGTAGCAAGCTGAGCTGGATGGCTTGTCCGCCAATTTAGCAAGCATTCTTTCCAGTCGGTTAAAGGTTCGAGTGAAGTTAAGTGATTGTAATATCGTCGCAGATGGCAAAGATCCGATCCAAAAAGTGATACATCCAGTGGATCACCGTTGAAAATCAATTTTTGACATTCATTGCTAGCTAGGACCGATAAAAAAATAAGACGACAGTATGACAATGGACAATCTCAACGTAGGATGGAACCGTGCCGCCTGGAAAATTTAACACTGAGGAAGCTGGTTGGTGAATTGTCCTAAGTTGAATTCAGTTTGCGGGAACACACTGAATAACAAGCAGTTGGATACCATACTCACTGCGTATGCTGAAAGTATGCTACAAAGTCTAATTCTAATAGTGACAACTCGTAATCAAATCATTCGGGAGGGCTTTCTAATCAGTAATATCTCTTCAAACGCTTGACGGTGTGGTCAGAGAACGGGAGAAGTAAAATTAACGCAGCGGCCTATTGTTACTTCATTTATCGGCCAGCTGGCGAGGTTTAGAGTAACACTCACCTGCAGTTGCGCTCGAATAAGCCTCTCACACGCAGTTAAGGTCAAGTATACAATGTTCGAATGTAAAACACCGAAGTCACTCCTATATCTGGTGTAAGCACATTGTCTTTGTTATGCACTGGTGTAGTTTTCTGTGGCCAGTATCAAACTTTATATGTAGAAAGTTAGCTAAGTTAACCTCATTATTTATCAATTAGGGTAATAATAGTGGTAGCGTAGGAACAAGAACCATATATTGCCACGAGAAAACTCGTAAGATTCAGACGATATTTATGGGACTCTCCGCGAAGTCATTAATTAGACTCTAAAAATCCGCGAACTGGCTGGGGTCAAGTGTTTTTCAGTTTACAGACAGGAAGAAAAGGTGCAGAGAGAAAACATACAATATGAAAGGTGAAATCGATGACACACGGAAGATGGATAGACCCAACAGAGCTTTATGCAAAATGTGTGCTGATCTCGTGAAAGACTGATTGCTCAAGTCAGATTAAGTATGCAAGCCAAACATGATTAGACTTACATTCTAGGAAAGCCCAAACGATAAAATCTGCTAATGTTAGGTGTGGACCCAACAGATATGTGGAGTGAGCCAGAGCCGTCTGTAGCTGTCCAATAGCCCAGTGAAACGTCTCAGGGTTCCGTAGATATGCAGGAACAAATCGCACCCAGCTGACAAGCTGAAAGAGAACTCAGTATAAAAGAGTGGAGCTACCTGCAAGCCTTCCTTGCTAGGCCAATTACACGGAGAAGGAAGAAGGCTAGAGATAATGGTATTACCATCGAAAGTGTGCACATACCTGCGCAATTCCTCCGGAGTGGTCAATACAGACCGAGATTTTAAAAAATCACAAACAAAATTGAAACCTGATAACAAGCGTTTAAATGAACAGACTGAGCGGAAAAACTTACAAAATTCCATGTCGCACAATATGGAAAGGCCGATAGCGTGGAAAATTACGCGTTCTTATCCGATAATGCAACGAAATTCCAGTTGTGACACGCAAAACCAATCACCTGCAAGACGAACAATCACGTTTCGGTCTTATTACACTCTATAAATACCCGTAGCTCAACTATATGGGATCAACACTTTCGAGCTCGTGAAGTATCAGTTGGTTTACTCATTGAGCCAGATAAGTTGATTGCAAGCGTCTCAATATCATCAAAGCGACATCATCAATGCATCGTTAGGAGTGGTGTGTCTCAGGTTGTCTCCTTGAATGGCTCGACCTAAAGCTAAAACCTCGACGTGTTGGTCAGGCTTGAGTGCTGAAATCGTCCCGCGGTCTATAGCGGCTAGAATTTAGTTCCACAATGTGCAACCATGCCAGGAAAACCAAACCGGAATCGTCGAACCAAGTTCAGCGAGACCTCGTACTTCGAGCGTCGTACTCTGAAATAGTCTGTGAGTAGAGTCGTATTGTCCCCTGGGATGGGAGTGTGAAGACAGTAAGGTGTTTCCCCAAGGCGACCAGCAAGAGCATACTCAGGGAAGGAGCGATGCTGCCTTCACCCGAGGGAAGACAGGTTGGAAGAGGTCACCTTGAAAACCGCACACTCCGATCGCCCAACAGTTGACCGCGACCACCAGCACATTATTCAATACCGTCGAAGTATTATTAAAACCAAAGAGTTTGGTGCTGTTCAAAAGACACCTGCTGCATGCAGCCACATTAGAAGTCAGACAGTAATGCCTTTCTTCCTATGCCTCCGGGCCAGGCCAGTCCCCAGCAGCCTATTGAGACATCGGCACCGGGCAGAGTCCCCAAAGAAAACTCTACTGCATGCTGTCTCTCAAGGTCAAGCTTTTGAGTCAGAAGCTAGACGAAGGCCTTGAACAAAACGTTACATCTTCTTGTGGGCCAGACTCCTGAGTCAAAGCCTCAAGCTGGGGTATCTCAACTAAACCCTCTTCCTCGGTCTGGGCAACTTCGAGATGTCATCCACCCACTCAGTCTCTTGTCCACCGATGTCCTTTCCCACTACGCAAGCAAACATTGCTGGGTCATCTGACTGTTAGTTGTCTGACCCATGCGCCTTATAGATCACACTGTCTATTAACAATAAGGTAAATAAAACCTTACCAAATCTACGAGATCCTTTTTTCAGACAGGTAAACGGGTAACACTTTCCCAGGCCCTATATGCCAAATCCCGCGGACTTGTGAACATCTAATGAAATCTTTTATATTAGTCCACTATATCACGTGCTCTATCGTGTTCCCTGTTCAACTTTGCCACTGATATAATTATTGAACTCACTCCCATCCTGTAATAGCTGTGGGGCCAAAATACTCCCAGGGCAATCACTCAGATAGGGGATGCGCAGAAAAAATAGCTCTTCTTGGATCTGAAGCCATCGTAATGCGAACAATATTAAATGATCTAAATAATCTTGCCTCACGGTTCGCCATGAAAAGCGTAAAGTGCGGATGCAAGACTGGGTGACCTTGAACCCGCACCTCATAATTGCGAAAGAACTTACTGAGGATGTAGACAGATTTATCAAACTGACCAATTGTGTCAGACAAATTTATCAAACTGACCAATTATGTCAGTCGTGGCAGTCTAGACAGAATAAATTTCAATCCGGGCTGGCATGGCCAGAGCAGCTTTTGTGAACCCGCGTCACCTGTGACTGGGGCGTGACAGATTATTCAAGGTGGAGTTTACAATGCTGCAGTGCAATTTATATAGGTATATTGGCCAGAAACCTGGACGCTACGTGCTGAGAAAGTCAAAAGACTATCAGTGTTTGACGATCGATTGTCTGAGCCTGGTGGGAGCACCCAATCTGTAAGATTAAAGTACGTCGAATGGCCTTTGGAAGAAATAACTCGCCCAAAGTGGAGCAACCTTCATAGGTTGCGACGGCCAAGAGCTCTCTTGAAGAGCTCTTTTCACATGAAAAGTGAAGACCAGGCAGGGGTGGTCAGGCAATGACTTAGTAGCGAAGTATGAAAGCCATTACCGGCAAACTCAGCTGCGCTGATCATCGCCATCGGCTTAGATGGAGACTCCGAGTCGGGATACATCAATGGTTAGAAAAACTGATACGCATAGACCGTCGCGCGTACTTATTTAAGCTGCTGGCTAAAATACATAGCTTCCGTCTCGAAAAGTACACTGACATCCTCGTAGTGACCCATCAATTAAACCGTCTCTGGACCCAGTATGTAGTTATCTACCGCTACCTCCCAAGATCATTGACAAACGAAACTACGGCAGCTATAACCACCGTACAAAGAGTACGCGATTTTTACGGCTGATAATGATGGTGGTAGCGAGACGCTTGCGATCAGTGTTCAGCTTAGCGAACAAACCATCTACACTAGTTTGACCTACCAACATTCCCCTCAACAGCAAACTGTTAAGCTCGAGATGGCTGTGGTTAAGGCGCAAAATTAATGATCGGAAGGTCGGTCGTTGCGACCCGGACTCTGCCTCCCGACTAATACTGTCTGGGCTTGGGAATCATCATGGATAACTGTTGTGTACGACGAGGGTCAGAGTGCAACGACAATCAGAATGGCAATGGAAAAGACGGAGGGCCCGAAAGCTAGGCTTTATTCATCCAAAACTTTGACACTGAGAGCTGAAAACGGAAGAAAGTGATTTAGCAATAAATGATGAAACGTTTGAAAAACAGAGCAAATATACAACAGTAACATGACATCAGTGTTCGATACTGGAGCTAAGGTGAACATTGGTGAATGAACGTGCATTAAATGTCGACAGATCACGAGCACCCCATCCTGGAGAGCGGACAGCACTAAAGGCACCCAAACTTTTTGTAAATTCAGTCTTTTCTGTCGTGTCCGTTCCTGTCCATCTCGAAGTTTCTGCCATACCGGAGCAGGCACGGAAAACAGCGCTCATCCCAGCAGCCGGCAACTCGGTATGCAAAACGCAATTCCCAGGCACCTTAGCTTGTACTGCTGGATACACTCTCTGAAGGAAGCATCTTCTGTTTCACCAAAAACCCGTCTCCTGGTCACATTGCGAATTCACTGGTTCCAGCCGATTCTAGCTATGTTTCTGAGGCATCGGTCCTCAAAGACCCGAAGAAGTCTGAGATTCTCCTCCGGGTGTCTCTCCAGCTAAGCATCGGGGAAGTCTGCTTCCAAAATCGTCTACTGGGCTCATCATCTGCCGGTATCGTCAACCATTGGTGAGTTGAGTCCCGGGATTCCCACCTAAGGAGTCAGGAGGCACCGAACACGCCATCAACATGTGAGACAATAACATCGGTATTGACAATGATGCTTCACTGCCATACAATCACAAAGTGTGTATTTGCATCTTTAAGGTGAAAAGAAGAAAAAACGTGAATGAAAGAGAAACCTGATGCTAGCCTGCTACGTTCATTCTAAATGGACCTTGACTTCCAAATGTTTAATCAGGTAGCCTGGAAAGAAGCTCACAGCCCGACAGCCGCCGACATAGACTAGCCGAAATTCCTTGCAAAGTCTCCAGCCAGTCGCAGGAACCCATCCTGGAAGGCGGACCATACCAACACCTAAACTCTCCGTAATCTCTTTCACACCTTTCTGACAAGCCACATGCTATCCACCTCGCAGCTTGCGCAATTCTAAAGGAGGTACAAAGGACAATGCTTGTCTCGGTAGACAAGCTTCTGGCATGTGTAGCACATAGCCAGGTCAGCATAGCTGTTGCTGGGTGTTTTGGCGCCTGTAGTATCTGATGCACGACAAAATACCCGTTTTCTCGCCACGAAACCATTGGCGCTATCCGAAAAACTTACCGAGAAACCAGATATCAAATACCTGGTGCTCAAGAGTTGAGATTTCGTCTGCCACCGTAAGACGAAGAAAAATCAGTGATTCCAAAAATATCGTCATAAGAGGAGCCAAACTGTGACCTTGTAGCTACTACATGCTCTGCGAGTGCCCTTCTTGAAGATGGGCACTAGTGTCGAATTGCACCAGTTGTTTGGAACAGTCTGTCTCCCGGATAGACACAAATGGATTCAAAAGACACTGGCTAGGGAATTCACCACTGTCCTTGAATAAAGCACGCGGACCAGGGGCAAGATAATGTCTGAGTAGAGGCATAAATCCGAAGACTCATGAAGCTGAATGGGACTCCACAATCCCATTCCACATTTCTGTTGAAGGTCAGGAGTCCGAATCGGATGTAGCGAGTGCCCAAATGAATTTTCGTTCGAAGTATTGCGCCCAACGATCCAAACATTCACTGTCGCTGGATATCAGAGAGCCACTTTGGTCACTGATGATTTCGCTGACAACAGTCTTCTGAGTACCGATCAAACGAATCAAGTGGAACAATTTGAGGATGTTTTCAGTATATAACTTTTCTTCCAGTTCCTCGGCATTTCGGGTCAATCGAACTTCCAGGTCTGCATGGACACTGGGTTTCATCTGACGTCGGATGTAGTTGCAGTTGAAACCAAGAATGCGCCCTTGGGCTTCCAGCAAAGTTACGATCCTATCAAAGGCTTGTGTGAAGTTGGCTGGGTTGCACCGCAGACGAATTTTTGGCATTGAGTGGCACTTTGGATATCTATAACTAGCATTAATTAAAAATACTAATAACCGTTCAGCTGTGCCATCCTTTCGGTCCCTAGCTGCCATGCCACCAGAAGGAAGAACGAGGGCTGGGATACTGCCAGGTTGCCCAAGCCTAGAGAGGGGAAGTTGAGAGGCGGAGTTCAGGTTCGAACCACAGACCTTCCAATCAGTAAATCCACGCTCTAACAACTGAGATGCTTCGCACTTTGACAAGTGACCGTTAACACCTGGGCGGTTTCTTATGGGCTTGTTTGATCTCCGTCTCCATGAACTTCTCAATGGATAAGTTGCAGACT